GGGGTACTTACCTCCTCCTGCTGCTTCCTCCTCTGCCTCCCTCCCCCCCCCCGCGAGTATCGCGGGTCCACCCCTTGTTCCTCTCTAAGAACCATTCTTCCACCAGGGCTCAGCCCCTGCAGCAAGCCATTAAACCAACAAGCAAGGACCCCTGAGCATGCACAGAGTTCCTTTGCTTTCCCCACTGAGTAACAAACACAGCCCAGTCGGGTCAGACCCAAGGATCCTGTCTGGCTTTAACAAGATCTGTTCTGCAGTACACACAAACGAGGCAGGATCACAGAACCATGGAGTCGGAAGGGACCTCCAGGGTCATCTAGTCCAACCCCCTGCACAATGCAGGAAATTCACAAATACCTCCCCCCCACACACACACCCCAGTGACCCCTGCTCTATGCCCAGAAGAAGCACAAAAAAAAAAATCACTTTGAGGCCGATGCCCTTCGTTTGCAGCTGGCAGATACGTTGCTTCTGTCCATGGAGGTTCTGTTAAGCTATCTGGGCAAACAACAGTCACTCATTCTCTCCTCCTCTTGTCAACATGTTCTTATTGCCTTTTAAATTCAAGGCCAGTGAACCTAGCCAAGGATTGCAGAACTTTAGAGAGAGGCTCCATTTTCGGAGAAATCTGGCTTTCAGGTCCTCTGGTTCCCAGCAGTCCTGTGTTCATCAATATTAATTGATCTGGCCCATTTTATACTTGAGTCGGGGGTGGGTGGGTAATTTCCAGATTTCATCTAAAATTGCATCCTCTTCTACCAAAAGAGTGCTCGGGTCACAGTTCTTTAGCTGAGAGATTAGACAAATTCATGGAAGAGAGGGGGCGATCAGCCCTGATGAAGAAAGCGAACCTCCATGTTCACAAGCAGTGTACCTCTGAATACCAGCTGCTGGCGAACAGCAGGGGAAATCGTCCTCAGAACCGAGCCTGTAGGCCTTTACCAGGGGTATCTCGTTGGCCAATGGGAGGAAACTGGGTGTTGAGCTAGATAGCCCAGTGGTCTGATCCAGCAGGGCTCCTCTTGTGTTCTTCTGAGGGGAAGGCCTCGGCCTCTCTGCCCTGTTGTTGGCTCTTCAGAGGAACTGGTCAAGGCCACTGTGTGAGACGGTATGCTGGACTAGATGGACCCTCACTGGTCTGAACCAGCAGGGCTCTTCTGATGTTCTTATGAGGGGAAGGCCTCGGCCTCTCTGCCCTGTTGTTGGCTCTTCAGAGGAACTGGTCAAGGCCACTGTGTGAGACGGTATGCTGGACTAGATGGACCCTCACTGGTCTGAACCAGCAGGGCTCTTCTGATGTTCTTATGAGGGGAAGGCCTCGGCCTCTCTGCCCTGTTGTTGGCTCTTCAGAGGAACTGGTCAAGGCCACTGTGTGAGACGGTATGCTGGACTAGATGGACCCTCACTGGTCTGAACCAGCAGGGCTCTTCTGATGTTCTTATGAGGGGAAGGCCTCGGCCTCTCTGCCCTGTTGTTGGCTCTTCAGAGGAACTGGTCAAGGCCACTGTGTGAGACGGTATGCTGGACTAGATGGACCCTCACTGGTCTGAACCAGCAGGGCTCTTCTGATGTTCTTATGAGGGGAAGGCCTCGGCCTCTCTGCCCTGTTGTTGGCCCTCCAGAGGAACTGGCTGAGGCCACCGCGTGAGACGGGATGCTAGACTAGATGGATAGCTGTTCTGATGACCCTGGAGGTCCCTTCCAACTCTATGGTTCCATGATTCTCTCCAGTACAGGACTTCTTCCCCACTTTATTCCCCCCGTCCTTTCCTAAAGGCTTTCCTTCCTTCCTCCAGTTGCACCCGACCCCAACTTACCTGCCAGCCGAAGTCTCCCTCCTGCACTCAGAAGTCCTGATCGTGGTGTTTCCTCCCCCCGTCCTGGGGTAGCTCCAGTTCTGTGGGCGGTCAAGGAGCTCAGCTCAGCTCTGCAGAGTGGTTCCGGAACAGCTCGGGGAAGGCCTCTTCCGGCGTCTAAAGTGCCAAGTGAGAAGTCCAGCGTCCTCACAACTGGGGGAGGGACGGGGGTGGAGGGTGTGTGCGGCCATCGCGCCCCCCAGCCCGGCCTGGACTCTCAGTGAAGGAGCCCAGCCGGCCCTCCCTGGGGTCAGAGCCCCAGGAAGGGGATGAGGGCAAGCCCGAGGCAGAGACGGCCAGGCCAGGAGGGGGCTGAACTGCGTCCGGGCGCTACAGCGGCATCTGCAGAGAGGAAAAGGAGGGGCACAGTTGGCACTAGAAGTGGACGGTTGGCAGGGAGAGAGAGAGAGAGAGAAGCAGGGTTCACACTCCAAATTTCAATCCGCCCCAAACTGGATTCACCCCAGAATCCTGGGAGCTTTACAGGAGCCGTTCCTCATCCGAACAGGCGAGAACAGAACCCATGCTGTGCCTCCTTCCGCCATATCCCCCCCCCCCAATAAATGAACTTCCTCGCTGGCGCTTTTTGACGGGGCTTAAGTTACGTCTTTGCGAACTGCTCCGGTCGCACTCGAAGAAAAGCGGTATTTATGAGCGGGTTAAATAAATATGAAACAGGCCTTTTCTTAAAAAAAAAAAAAAAAAAAACCCCATCAAGGCATACATTCAGCCCTGCACCCACGCTGCTCCACTTCAGCCGCTAGCCTCCACTCCCTCCCGCGTCCAACTCAAACAAGATTTTAAAAGCCCTCCGTGGCTCTGCTCCAACTCCCGCCCCCTTCCACTTCCCTGCTCCGGCCCTGCCATGCCAAAGTCCAAGCGGCTTTCCCCCTTCGCTGCCCCTTAATGCCTGCTGGCACTCTGGCCATTTCTGTCTCCTTGGGTAAACTGGACTTGGGTAAATTCATAATAATAAATAAACAGAAATAGTAAATATAATTATTCATTGGGTATCTCCCCACCGTGCTCTAAGTGCAAAAAACAGCTGTCTCCTCATCCTCCAGGGGTGAACATGTGAATGCAGGAAGCTGCCCTATACCGAATCGGACCCTGGGTCCCTCAGAGTCTGTATTGTCTGTAGGGTTGCCAGACCCCCCCAGTGGAGGGAGCATCCCCCGCTGCCAGGTCCCACCGCCCTGCCACCGATCAGCTGGCCAGTGGGGGAAACTTACCCCCCCAAAAGAGGGAGATCCATCCAACACGCAGCGACTGCCCCACGTGACCTGGAAGTGACATCATCATGTCAGGGATGTCGGGGTGACGCTCTGGTATTTGGGCAAAAACTCTATGGTCAAAGCCAAATTTACCATAGAGTTTTTGCCCAAATACCAGAGTGTCGCCCCAACGTGATGTCACTTCTGGGTCATGTGGGTAGTGACGGAGACACATCTCTGCACAGTGGCGGTGCCCCCCCCCCTTGCTCCCAGTAAGTCCCCTCCCCATCCCCTGCTGGTTGCCAGGAAGTTTACAACAATTTAAGGGAATTGATGAATTAGTGTAGACCGTATATAACTTACCATCAAATAAAGCTCCGAAGTGTTCCAATTCTTAAGCTAGTCTTATTATTTAAATATACTATTCAAAACAGTTAGTTTCTTATTATTGTTTAAATATACTATTCAAAACAGCTAGTATACAGGCTGGTTAAGAATCTGAAGGAAACTTTACAATCCCAGAATAGACTTCACAATTCCAAAGTGGAGAAAAGACTTCAGAATTCCAAACCGGACTGAAAAGCACACATTCTCAATGTCCATAAAACAAGTAAGACCAGTCCTTAAGACTTGAGGCAAACTTGAGGCAGGTCTTACTTGCTTTTTGGACACTGAGAATTTGTGCTTTTCAGTCCGGTTTGGAATTCTGAAGTCTTTTCTCCACTTTGGAATTGTGAAGTCTATTCTGGGATTGTAAAATTTCCTTCAGATTCTTAACCTGTCTGTGTACTAACTGTTTTGAATAATATATTTAAATAATATATTTTGAATACTTAAATAATAAGAATAACTTAAGAATTGGAACACTTTGGAGCAGGGGTGTCGAACTCATTTGTTATGAGGGCCGGATCTGACATAAATGAGACCTTGTCGGGCCGGGCCATGCGTGTCATAAAATGTAATGCCAGGTAGCAGAGATATAAACTTTATAAAGGACAGAAAAACAAAGATTTTTTTTTTTATTTAAAATAAAACATGCTTAAAACATTAGCTCTGTAAACTGCAAACCTAGTTTTGATTTACTGACATTCACCACAGAAATGTCATGCTCAGAGTTCTGAGTCGAGGACCCAGGTTAAAACATGAAATGGTTGAGTGATTAAGAGAGTCTGGCGAAGCAAGCTGTGATGCAGCAGCAGAACTGGAAGCAGGAGATGGCCAGTTCCACTGCGGGCTTGATGGCAACCCTCCGGGAGCCTGATCCGGCCCCCAGGCCGCATGTTTGACACCCTTGCTTTGGAGCTTTATTTGATGTTACATTTTATATGGGTGCCAGGAAGTACCTGGCAAACCTGTCTGAACCTTGGCCCTCTCCCCAGTACCATCTATCTACCGCTGTGCCACGCCAAATACTTACCCTCTGGGCCACCTCTCCCACGTGGTTGAGACTTGGGGCCTTCCGTCACTGGTTCTACAGCTAGAAAACAAAATAAAGCTGCTCAGTGTGGAAGGCAACGTCCTGCTTTGTCTGCCTTGCCTCCCCCAACACACTCCGGACCCCTTGAGGTACGAACAGGCTGCCTCCGCGTTCACAGCCCGGGGGTTCTGCTCTCTCAATTGGGCTTGTCTGAGGTGCTTAATTTGAAGCAGAGCCCACGGCTCGAGCGCCAGAATCGGTTTTTCATGGCTGGGTTCATTCCAGAGAGACTTGTGGCTGTTTGCAAACCTTCGGGAAGGCTTTCTTCAGTGTGAGCTTCTCTCCCCAAGGAACACCCCTTGCCCCCCGCCGCAGATGCCTTGCGTGTTGCAAAGGATTCTGGTAAGGGTTCTGAACAGGGCCTCGCTTCATGCCGGGCACTGGCCAACCCGGTTAGGCCTCACCTCGCATGAGCAGACATCGCGTGCGAGATGGTTCAGAAAATCCATTCGCGGGCTGGGCAAGTCTGTCATGTCTTAGGGGTGAGCTAACATCGTTCTCCTTGCCTCCATTTTATCCTCAGGACAGCCAGTGTGGTGCAGCAGCAAAAAAGGCCAATGCGATCTTTGGGTGCATCGACAGAGGCGCAACGTCCAAATTGCAAGATGTCATCGTGGTCCCGCTGTACACTGGGTTGGTCAGGTCGCACCTGAAGTACTGTGTGCAGTTCTGGAGGCCTCACTTCAAGAAGGACGTGATGTGATTTGATTTATTACATTTCTACCCCACCCTCCTGGCCACAGCCAGCTCGGAATGTGGACAGAACGCAGCGGGTGCAGAGGAGAGCGACGAGGGTGATCGGGAGCCTGGAGACCAAGCCCTGTGAGGAAACGCTGAGGGACCGGGGAATGTTTAGTCTGGAGAAGAGGAGGTTGAGGGGGGACACAGTGGCTCTCTTGAAGGATTGGAAGGGCCGTCGCTTGGAGGAGGGCAGGGAGCTGTTCCTGTGGGCAGCAGAGGGTAGGACTCGCAAGAATGGGTTTAAATTAAGGACGGGAAGGTACCGGCTGGATCTTAGGGAAAACTTTGTTACTGTTGCAGAACTGTGGAATGGGCTGCCTAGGGAGGTGGTGAGCTCCCCCTCACCGGCAGTCTTGAAGCAGCAGCTGGACAAACACTTGTCAGGGATGCTTTTCTAGGCTGATCCGGCATTGAGCAGGGGGTTGGACTAGGTGGCCTGTGTGGCCCCTTCCAACTCTGTGAGTTTATGATTCCTGTCAGGGAGGTGAGGCCGAGACTATGTAACTGGCCCAAGGTCACCCAGCGAGCTTCCATGGCAGAGTGGGGATTCGAATCTGGGTCCACCAGATCCTAGTCTGAAACTCTAACCACCAGGGACCTTCTGCATACAGAGCCCCTGAGGCACAGCTCCTGTCCTCAGCTTACAACAACTGCCGGCCCAGTACACCTTCCTCTGTCCCCGTCCAGTTTTCCTTCTCTTCTCCCCCTGACGGACTCCCCATTCCTCAAGCATATTCTTTGTAACCATCTTGAAGATTGATGGATCAAAAAGCAGGGAATAAATCTTTAAAATATATCAGTTGGGATGTGATCGAATGGACGGCAACGCCTTCAGATTCTAAAGGGAGTGGGCAGAGAGCGTATTTCTAAATATGCTCTTATGTTTTAAAAAGGGCCCTGCAAGCAGAAAGCCGGGATGGCAGACAGAGGGCGGAGCTAGGACCACTTCCCCTGAGGTGCTAGCTTTTTACATGCAGAAGGCATTTCTTTTTATGCGGTGAGCTGACCAAAGGGGGCGCAGTCTGCAGAGCTGGCCTCAGCCGATAAGAACGCAACAGGAGTTGATGGAACACCACCTGTGGCACAGCTGCCTGTGATAGGAAAGAGACTTGGGCAGGGTGAGCTGTAAAGCAGAACAACGAAGTGTCTTTGAAAAGGGAGGCGTGCAATGTGTGTAGCCTCCCCCTCCAACAGAAAACAGCATCAAAAGATCATGACAAGAGACCTGCTCGATCAGATATGGTCCATCTAGCCCAAAATCTTGTTTCGCGCAGCAGGCAAACCAGTTGCCCTGGAGGGCCAAGAACAGGGCAGAGAGGCCGAGGCCTTCCCCTCACAAGAACATCAGAAGAGCCCTGCTGGATCAGACCAGTGAGGGTCCCTCTAGTCCAGCATCCTGTCTCACACAGTGGCCTCAACCAGTTCCTCCAGAGGGCCAACAACAGGGCAGAGAGGCCGAGGCCTTCCCCTCATAAGAACATCAGAAGAGTCCTGCTGGATGAGACCAGTGAGGGTCCATCTAGTCCAGCCTCCAGTCTCACACAGTGGCCTCAGCCAGTTCCTCTGGAGGGCCAACAGCAGGGCAGAGAGGCCGAGGCCTTCTCCTCATAAGAACATCAGAAGAGCCCTGCTGGATCAGACCAGTGAGGGTCCATCTAGTCCAGCATCCTGCCTCACACAGTGGCCTCAACCAGTTCCTCCGGAGGGCCAACAACAGGGCAGAGAGGCCGAGGCCTTCCCCTCATAAGACTGTAAGAAGAGCCCTGCTGAATCAGACCAGTGAGAGTCCATCCAGTCCAGCGTCCTGTCTCGCACAGTAAAATCCAGTTGGAAAGCGCATTGAAAGCGCATTATTTAGTGTGTGTAATCGCAGTGGCCAACCAGTTCCTCTGGAGGGCCAACAACAGGGCAGAGAGACCAAGGCCTTCCCCTCAGGAGAGCCCTGCTGGGTCAGACCAGTGAGGGTCCATCTAGTCCAGCATCCTGTCTCACACAGTGACCAACCACTTCCTGCCAGCAACTGGGCAGAGAGGCCCAGGCCTTCCCCTAATGCAGCAGCTAATCTGTGGATTAGGGTGTAACATCTTATCCAGATTCCTCCTCCTGAAAACACAGACTTACTGGTCACTTTGCAGCAGACAGAGACTCGTAGCTTCATGCAGCGTCCTGGGCTTTCTGCAGTGGGGATAGCTGGAAGGGAAGAAGGGGAGAGCCAAGTGTGAGAAGGAGAATGCGCCGTCTAGGTCTCTATTAACTTCATTTATACACCTGCCTTTCACCCCAGTGAAGACCAATGTTCCCTCTAAGCTGAGTTAGGGTGAGCTAGCTCACAGTTTTTTAGCCTCCGGCTCACACATTTTTCTCTCAGCTCAGGAAGGATGCCGCCAGAGCAAACTAAGTGACACAGTAGCCGAATCGCTCGCTCACAGTTTTAACGCTGGTAGCTCACAAAGTAGAATTTTTGCTCACAAGACTCCACAGCTTAGAGGGAGCATTGGTGGAGACCCCCAAGAGGCTTACGTCATTTTCCTTTCTCCCCATTTTATCCTCACAACAACCCTGCAAGGTAGGGGAGGCTGCAAGTGTGTGACCAGCCCAAGATTACCCAGTGAGATTACCCAGATTATCCACGGCAACATGGGAATTTGAACCTGAGTCCTAAATCGTAGTCCGTCGCTCTAACCACTACAGAACACACTGTCTTTCTAAACCACGGGTCCTCAACCTGTTTGCGCCTAGGGGCTTCTTTGGAACTTTGACACAGAAGGGTGGGTGCAGCCACAAAATGGCTGCGGCAGGAGGAGGAGGAGGAGGAGGAGGAGGAGGAGGAGGAGATTGGATTTATACCCCGCCCTTCACTACCCAAAGGTGTCTCAGAGCGGCTTAGAAACTCCTTTCCCTTCCCCTCCCCACAACAGACACCCTGTGTGGTAAAAGAAGAAGAAGAAGAGACTGGATTTATATCCCGCCCTTCACTACCCAAAGGTGTCTCAGAGCGGCTTAGAAACTCCTTTCCCTTCCCCCACCCCACAACAGACACCCTGTGAGGTAGGTGGGGCTGAGAGAACTCTTGAAAGAAACTGCTCTTTTTCAAGAACAGCTGTGCCAGAGTTATGGCTTGCCCAAGGTCATCCAGCCAGGTGCAAATGGAGGAGTGGGGAATCAGACCCGGTTCTCCCAGATTAGAGTCCGCACACTTAACCACTACACCAAACTAGTGACGGGGCCAGCCACAAAATAGCGGCCACAGCTTACCTTCAGTCACATGGTAAACATCTGCACAGCCAATCAAATCTCCAGTAGTCGATCAGAAGCCCGGCCAGGCATAAACCCCCACCTGGCCCCTCCCACTTTCTCAAAACACCGGGCAGGCACCAGGAAAGGTGTTGGCTAGTGTCACGGTGCCCCCGGGCACCACGGTGCCCCCGGGCACCTGCCCTAAACAGAAACACCTACCCACACATACATGAATGAAGTGCCTAGAAAGGTAAATGGATAAAAGAGAAAAAACAGAAGTCCAGGATGTGAGGCCAAATTAGACATGCCCCAGAAGATCCGTGGTTGGGATCTTGAGCTTAGAAGAATGAAAGAATGCAGGAAGGGCAAGGGGAGCGGACGTCCCAGGGGCGACGCCTTCCCGAAACTGAAGGAAGACGCCCCTCCTGGATTTCTGCCTCTCATGAAGTTGTCAAAGGTCTGCTGGGGATTAAAGCTATTTGCAGATACGGGAGACCTCTCAGTAGAAGTCGCTGGCCGGCCAAGAGTGTGTGTGTATGCGGGGGGGATTAGGTTCTAACACCTTTGCACACCTCCCGTCTCTCTATCATTAATGATATTATTGACTGCTGTCAGTAAATCGCCCCGACCTGGGTAATCCGGTCTAGCCTGATCTCATCAGATCTCGGAAGGGAAGCCGGTTCGGGTCGGTCCTGATTAGTACTTGGGTGGGGGCCCATCAAGAAAGTCCAGAGGAAAGGCAACCCCAGCTCTGTCTGTCCCTTGCCTTGCAAAACCCCATGAGGGGTCACCTATGACTCGACAGCAAAAATAAATAAATAAAATAAATTACTATTACTATTTCTCACAATCATGCTAATTGAAACCAATATGCTTTTTAGTCAACTGTCAATAGGAAGCATCTTCTTTCTTTTAGATATCATTAGTTAGTAAAAACACCAAACTTAGAGAAGAAAAAGAGGAAGAAGGAGGAAGAAGAGGAGGAGGAGGTAGAGAAGAAGAAGAGGAGGAGGAATAGGAGGAGGAGGAGCAGGAGGAAGAAGAAAAGGAAGAAGAAGAGGAGGAGGAGGAGGAGCAGGAGGAAGAAGAAAAGGAAGAAGAAGAGGAGGAGAAGGAAGAAAAGGAGGAGGAAGAAGGAGAAGAAGAGGAGGAGGGAGAAGGAGAAGAGGAGGAGGGTGAAGGAGAAGATGAGGAGGAATAGGAGGAGGAGGAGGAGGAGGAAGAAGAAAAGGAAGAGGAGGAGGCGGAGGCAGAGGAAGAAAAGGAAGAAGAGGAAGAGGAGGAAGAAGAAAAGGAAGAAGAAGAGGAGGAGGAAGAAGAAAAGGAGGAGGAAGAGGAGGAAGAAGGAGAAGAAGAAGAGGCGGGAGAGGGAGAAGAGGGAGAGGGAGAAGGAGAAGAGGAGGAGGAGGAGGGAGAAGGAAGACGAGAGGAGGAGGAAGAGGAGGAGAAGAAGAAGACGATGACGACAACGAGCTCGGAACACCAAGAATCCTGCGAAGATGCATCTGCAGTTCCCAAGAACTTGGCTAGATCTCGAATTGCAGAACACCATCCACCAGTCAAATACCTGACTGTGACCATTAGTAATAATAATGATGATGATGATAATGATGATGACATCTTCAAGGAAAGTACATCCTACCGCAAGGTAGTGAACAGATTTATTTCAATTAATTCAGAACTATTTAAATTAATAATGCAGCCATACACAAATTAATATGTATTAGCTGGACTCCCAACAGAGGTACCTGTTCTTTAAGGTATTCTTTAGTATGATTACCGTTCCAGAGGATGGGGGTGTCGGTCTGGAGCGGAACAGCCAAGGTTTGAGTCCGGCAGCACCTCAGAGACCGACACGATTTCGGGGGTATAAATTTTCGAGAGTCTGATGAAGGGAACTCGGACTCTCGAAAGCTCATACCCTGAAAACCTTCTTGGTCTCTAAGGTGCTGCTGGGACTTGAATCTATTTCATAGAATCATAGAGCTGGAAGGGACCTCCAGGGTCATCTAGTCTGACCCCCTGCACAATGCAGGAAATTCGCAAGTACTTCCCCACCACACACCCCAGTGACCCCTGTTCCATGCCCAGAAGATGACAAAAAACCTCCAGGGTTGCTTCCTGACCCCCAAAGGGGTGATCGGCATTTCCCTGGGCATGGAAGAAAGGGCCACGAGAACCAAGCACTGAGGCAACCCTTCCTGCCCTCCCTCTCATGATCTGCCCAAGTTCACAGAATCCGCATGGCTGTCAGGTGGCCATTGAGCCTCTGCTTGAAAACCCCCAAAGAAGGAGAGCCCACCACCTCCCGAGGAAGCCTGATTATCATTCATACCCCCATTGAAGAAGAAGAGATTGGATTTATACCCCGCCCTTCACTCAGAGTCTCAGAGCGGCTAACAATCTCCTTTCCCTTCCCCTCCCCACAACAGAAACCCTGTGAGGTAGGCGGGGCTGAGAGAGCTCTTTTGAGAACTGCCCTTTCTAGGACAGCTCTTATCAGAACTATGGCTTGCCCAAGGTCATCCAGCGGCTGCGAGTGGAGGAGTGGGGAATCAAACCCGGTTCTCCCAGATTAGAGCCCGTGCTCTTAACCACTACACCAAACTGGCACTAGGCATATTTACATCAGCTACGCTGAGTCCAAAGGCGGACTCCTGCATTGAAATCCTGAACAGAGTTACACCCTTCTCAACATGTTGAAATCAATAGGTTTAAAAGGGCGTGGCTCTCCTTAGAATGAAACCGTAGGTCTGCGAACTATTCCTCTACTGGTGGTGGCTCGACTCACAAATATAGTAGTAGTCACGTCCGGGCTGGAACTCGAAACCCAGCGAGAAGGGGGTGAACCGCTGGATCTTCTCCGAGAAGCGGACGGGTCCATAGAGGGCATAGGGGCGGTTGCACTCCCAACGTTTGAAGGCTCCTGGCGTTTCGTAGCAGCCCCGGTAACCCTCGCCGTCGACCATGAGAAGAGTAAAGGTCTCGGGGTTGCCGGATGCCAAGGTCTGATCGTAGTGCGGGCAGTAAATATCCAGATAGTCATTGATGGAGACTTGGACGGCGTAGTCTTCGTCGAGGAACCTGCCATTACAAAAGAACCAGACTCGGTCAAGCTCGAGTTTCATTTCCACAGACTAGGGGGGAAACCCAACATGCATAACCTGGATTAAATGTGATGGCATTTAAGAAAGGAAAGTCGTTTTCTCAGCTCTCTCTTGGTGGCAGAGAAAAGGATGCGGATATAAGGAAATCTCATAAGCCGGACACGTTGCCGGGTAAGATTTGTAGCTGTCAGAGGGCAGAGCTCTAGGGAAGTGTATAGTTCGGGGTTTGCAATATGGTGCCACAGAGCCCACCAACACATTTTCTGGCCACCCACCGAGTGTTTTCAGAAAGTGGGCGGGACCAGGTGGCAGCGCTTCTGATTGGCCTTTGGAGATTTGATTGGCTGTGCAGTTTATGGGAGGAGCTGCCGTAGGGTTGCCAAATGTTTTTTGGCCGGGAGCAGGGGGCTCCCGGCCAGCGTGCACGTCACCCGGAAGTGACATCGCATGCTGGGGGCGGGGCCACGCCACTTGAGGGGGGAACTTTGTTTTCCCCTCAAATGGCGTGGCCCCGCCCCCAGCGTGCGACGTCACTTCTGGGTGACGCGCACGCGGGGGTGGGGTTTCCCCCGGGCCCGGGCCCAATTCCGCGGGAGCGGAAATCGGGGCTCGAAAGCGGGGGGAATCCCGCCCCCCCGGGGGCATTTGGCAGCCCTAAGCTGCCGCCACAGCACAAGGTTCTTCACTGTGTGACTAAAGGCAGGCCATGGCAGCCATTTTGTGGCTGGCTCCACCTTTGGAGGCAGCCATTTTGCAGCTGTGCCCACCAGGCCGTGTCAGAATTCTAAAGGCGCCCGCAGGCCAAAAAAGGTTTAGGATCCCCTCATACGGCCCCTTGAAGAGAGTCTTCCTCAACTGAGATGAAGAGGCAGAATTCTGTTTTTTGGCAGAGGGCAGTCCTATTTTCTGATAGCATTCCCTTCCAATTATTTATCTATTAGTTTGTTTGATTAGATTTATTCTGTTTCTATGCAGGCTTATGCCAGAGTCAAGCACACAACAGGAGCCAGTGTTCCCTCCAAGCTGAGTTAGTGTGAGCTAGCTCACAGTTTTTTAGCCTCCGGCTCACACGTTTTCGTCTTAGCTCAGGAAGGAGGGCTCCAGAGCGAAGTGATTTATGCAGTAGCCAAATGGCTCACTCACAACTTTCATGCCAGTGGCTCACAAAGTAGAATTTCTGCTCACCAGACTCCACAGCTTAGAGGGAGCATTGAACAGGATCTAGATCCATCCCTGCTCTTTCTAAGTAAACTTGATATTTCATAAAGAAAGAAGAAAGAGGGAGAAACCCAGAACAATTTCTTACAGACGGCTTCAAGGGGGGAATTGGATCAACATCTGGAGCAGAAGTCCATGAGTGGCTATTCGCCACAAGTAGAGATGTAAAATTTCCGGAAATTTTGAAGCTCGGAAAAAACTCCGGGTTTTTTCCATTTTTTTTCCCCAGGGGGAAAACGGAAATTTTTGGAAAAATTGAAAAAAATGCTACATTACCATTTCTTTTGTCTTTTCTAGTTTGAAAGTCATTCTGTTACTTTAGGAACATAAAATGTGACTACGGACATTTTTACTTGGCATGAAATTATCACAACTAGCATATTAAAAATATAGTGTATCCAAACAGTTACTACAAACAAAATACCCACCCACATGCAAAAACAAAACTGAAACTTTTTTATTTTCTTCTGACAATCGCACCTCCCAAAGGAAGAAATGCATCTTGTTCTTGCATTGGAGAGTTCAGTTTGTAACCTAGGACTTGCTTGTCCTCAGTGCACAGAAATTAGATCAATCTGATACCATATATATATATATTTTAGAAATTATTTGGAAAATATTTGAACACCTTGTCTTAAAATATTTTATTCATCATGTTAAAATAAAACATTCCATAATCATTTTTTTTCTTTTTCCAATTTTTCGGAAAAAAAACAAAAAGGCTTCAGGAAAAAAACGGGGCCTTCACATCTCTAGCCACAAGGTCTAGATGGAACACTCTGTCTGGGGCAGTGATGCTCTGTATTATTTGTGCTGGGGAGGGGGAGAAGAAGAAGAGGACGAAGACAACAAAGAAGCAGCAGCCCTACTCTTCACTTGGAGTCTCAGAGCGGCTTAGTCTCCTTTTCTTCCTCTCCCCACAACAGACACCCTGTGAGGTAGGTGGGGTTGAGAGAGCTCTCTCGAGAACTGCTCTTGAGAGAACAGCTCCGAGAGAACTTGTGACTGACCCAAGGTCACCTGGCTGGCTTCATGTGGAGGAGTGAGGAGAACCCGGTTCTCCAGATTAAAATCTGCGCTCCTAACCACTACTCTCTCAGGAGTGCTTCTGGAGTTCTGGCCCCGCTGGTGGACCTCCTGGTGGCACCTGGGTTTTGGCCACTGTGTGACACAGAGTGTTGGACTGGATGGGCCACTGGCCTGATCCAGCATGGCTTCTCTTACGTTCTTAATAGGGACTGTGCACACTCCTTGTCCTCAAGGCGGAAGGGAATGTTGAGGGCCATTGAACATCAGACAAAGAGATGGGGAGGGAAACCAGGAGGGGAAATTTCTTATAATACCCTGGATTTGAGTCACGGGGAGAACTGCTCCAGGGATTCCTTTCCCCCGCCCGCGACTCGTCAGAGACAGACACCCAACTTGTTCCCTGTATTCTCAAGTTTAGAACACTGCTCTGGTCAGGTTTTCGAACACAGCCAGATTCCAAAGCCTGTGCGGAACAGGCTGGACCGGGGTAAACGGAGAAAGCAAGCAGAAAAGACCCTGCATCAGGTAAGAGAGGTAAGCCATGGTGGGGAGGTATGTTATGCTTGTATTTTTTGTGTCTCGGTTCATCCGTGTGTTCCTGGAAGGGGTAAATTTGATTCAGGCCCCCCGAATCTTGGCCTCTTCATCTCTCCTCTTCATCTCTTCTCTGATATCATTCTCCTAGCAATTCAAGTTTTTTCTCCTTTTATCATCACAACAACCCTGCAAGGATCGGTTGGGCTGAGAAAGCATGACTACTCCAAAGTTGCCCAGTAAGCTTCATGGCCCAGTGGGCACTAGAATTCTCCTCAGTCAGACACGCTAACCACACTTACCCACCCATCTCGTTTGGACTACATCCTTTTATCAGTTAACTTTGCCTTTCCCAGAGTTCCAAAGATAGAAGCACACTTTTTCCTGAACTTCAATTTAAAAGATGCTTCTCTTTGCACCAGAAAACTGGAGGAAAGCCCAGAGCCGAGACCCGCAGAGATTTAATAGGTATCCTCCTCAAAAAGGAGGAGGAGGAGGAAGAGGAGGAGATTGGATTTATACCCCGCTCTTCACTACCCAAAGGTGTCTCAGAGCGGCTTACAAACTCCTCTCCCTTCCCCTCCCCACAACAGACACCCTGTGAGGTAGGTGGGGCTGAGAGAACTCTTGACAGAAACTACTCTTTTTCAAGAACAGCTGTGCCAGAACTATGGCTTGCCCAAGGTCACCCAGCAGCTGCAAGTGGAGGAGTGTGGGATCAAACCCGGTTCTCCCAGATTAGAGTCTGCGCACTTAACCACTACACCAAAACTGGCTGGTGGCTGCATTTCTGTCATTGGAATGACTGAATGGTCCAGTCAAGCAAAACAGCGCAGTTCTCCCACCATGAAGGCTGACTGGTAAGTGGAATGGTCAGGGCAGTGACTCACACAGAGATGCAGCAGGTGAAGCTCTCTATGTGGGTGGGTCCCTTTGGGCTGGGAGCCTTTAATTATTTCATTACCTCCTTTCTCACGGTGCGCGACGCGTTTTCTCACAGCACACTAATGGGCCCAGCCCAGAGCTTGGAAATTATGGGTTTATCCTATTTAAAGCTCCTAACATTCTCACTGGCCTTACCGATACGTTTTTTATAATCCCGGATCGCTTTGAGGCTCATTCTCGCCAACAGAAAGCCAGCCGATACATTCCAGAAAGAAGACATTAACAAATAACGTCGGCCCCCATCAAACGCAGACGCCGGTTCCCAAGTCTCCTCTCTTCAGCGCTATCTGAAGTCCGAGCTTTGAGGCCCATGGAAAGGTCTCTCTCCGGCACCCCCTGAACGAGACGGGGGGGGGGAGGACAAACGGGCCCCCACAGCTTCCCACCCACAGCTCGAGTCCAGCTGTTGAGCGCCGCAAAATCAGCAGACGTCAGCTCCGATTAATTCAAGTGGCTGGAGGCAAAAAGGGTCGGGGGGAGCCCCTGGGGGTTATGGGCCGCCAGCCCAGCCTGAAGACAAAAGCCACCGGGCCTGAAGGCACCGCCTGGCCCCCCGACTGGGTGTGATGCATCGGCGGGGAATGTGGCCACCAGCAACCGGGCATCCTAAAATCTGTGCACGAAGCACAGCCAGCACGCCGGGAAAGCTCCACAGGAGAGGACCTCAAATCCTTCGTTTCCCGATGAGCTGGAAGGGGAGCCTTTAGGGTTGCCAGATCCAGGTTGGGAAATACCTGGAGATTTTGGGGATGGAGTCTGGGAGGGGCCTCAGCAGGGTATAATGCCATTGAGTCCGCCCTCCAAAACAGCCATCTTCCCCAGGGGAGCTGATCCCTGTTGTCTGGGGACTGGGTGTAATTCTGGGAGATCTCCAGGTCTCACCTGGGGGCTGGCAACCCTAGCCCCTCAAGCGCCGCCCCTGAAGTTCCAAGGGGACCACAGTGCCAAGATTCGAACCCATGGCAGGATGCAGAGCCTGGGTCCTAAAGAGACTCAGGCTATGCAGCTATGCTCTGTCCAAACCAATGGAAGACCATTCAGGAGGCTGCTTAACTCCAACAGGCCAAAGCAGGTCATGTGACCCTCCCTCACCCCATATAAACTTCCGGGTCAGGCTCAGTTATTGTTCCATGCGACTGAGTGCATTCCACTGTAGCTACAGTCCTCAGTGTGGTGTAGGGGTTAGACTGCTGGTCTGGGATCAAGGAGAACCAGATTCGAATCCCCACTCGCTTTTTCAGATAGATTGAG